TCACAGACTTACGCACTGGATTCCAAGTCGCGTCTTTTTACATTTCAAGGTTGCATAAACATTTTCGTTTTACACGAATAAATCCCACAAATCTTGATTATGTGATAAAAAGGATCTTACACTCGTTTTTGTTTCATAGAAAATGTATGAAACTCGTCACGAATTTTTCATTTTAGCTTGCCAGAGGCTCGCTGAATTGAAAAATTCTTAGACGGATTTCATAAATCTCATACGAAACGGAAACTCATGTAAGATCCTATATTTTTAATTCTGGTCTAATACCCAAATCGCCTCAGTTGCTTTCCATTCATCTTTCTTGCTCATCTTATATCATGTCTTCGTTTCACTGTCGCTCACATTTGATCTCATTGGTCTGTCTTACACCTCGGATCCCACACCTCTATTTCCACACTTCTAATTAACACATCTGATACCTTGTCCCCAACATGTTGACCACTATTTCTGGTTCGACACCTCTGATCCCAAATCTCTGGTCATACCCTTGGACACATAATATAGGTCCCACACCCTTGGTCCCCTACGTGGGGTCCCAGACCTCTGTTTCCACATCTCTGGTCCCACAAATATGGCTCCCCACACCTGGTCCCATACCTCTAATTCTACACAGATGGTCCCACACAAATGGTCTCATGCCTTTGGCTTTACACGTCCGGTCTCACATTTGGTCTAACACCTCTGGTCTTATACGTTTGGTCTTACACGTCTGGTTCTAGACATTTGGTCCCACACCTCTGGTCAAACAAATCTGGTCCCACTTCTCTGGTTTCACAAATCTGTCCTAAACGTCTTAGCCCACAAGTCTTGTTCTAGACTTATGATCCAAATACTTCTGTTCCAAAACATGTCTGATTCTAAACGTTAGATCCCACAAATATAGCCCCACACAATTAGGTCCACACATGTTATTTTACGGTCATATACCTCTGATTTCACAAATCTTGTCCCCCACGTCGGTCCACACGTCTGGTTCCACACATCTGGTCCAATACCTTTTATTCTATAATCTGGTCCCACACGACTGGTCCAAACACCTCATCTCACATTTCTGGTTCCAAACCTTCGATCCCACACCTCCTATCACATGCGTCTGGTACCACACTGCTGGCCTTTAACCTTTGACCACACACCTATAATCCAATGCGTCTGGTACCACACTGCTGGCCTTTAACCTTTGACCACACACCTATAATCTAATGCGTCTGGTACCACACTTCTGCCCTTTAACCTTTGGCACCACACCTATAATCAATACGCCTGGTACCACACTTCTGCCCTTTAACCTTGGGCCCCACACCTATAATCCAATGCGTCTGGTACCAAACTGCTGGCCTTTAACCTTTGGTCCCACACCTATAATCCCATGCGTCTGGTACCACACTGCTGCCCATTAACCTTTGGCCCCACACCTATGATCCAATGCGCCTGGTACCACACTGCTGGCCTTTAACCTTTGGCGCCACACCTATAATCCAATACGTCTGGGCCCACACTGCTGCCCTTTAACCTTTGGTCCCACACCTATAATCCAATGCGCCTGGTACCACACTTCTGCCCTTTAACCTTGGGCCCCACACCTATAAGCCAATGCGTCTGGTACCAAACTGCTGGCCTTTAACCTTTGGTCCCCCACCTATAATCCCATGCGTCTGGTACCCCACTGCTGCCCTTTAACCCTTGGCCCCACACCTATGATCCAATACGCCTGATACCACACTGCTGGCCTTTAACCTTTGGCCCCACACCTATGATCCAATACGCCTGATACCACACTGCTGGCCTTTAACCTTTGGTCCAACACCTTTAATCCAATGCGTCTGGTACCATACTGCTGGCCTTTAACCTTTGGTCCCTCACCTTTAATCCAATGCGTCTGGTACCATAATGCTGGCCTTTAACCTTTGGTCCCACACCTACAATCCAATGCGTCTGGTACCACACTGCTGCCCTTTAACCTTTGGCCCCCCACCTATAATCCAATGCGTCTGGTACCAAACTGCTGGCCTTTAACCTTTGGTCCCCCACCTATAATCCCATGCGTCTGGTACCCCACTGCTGCCCTTTAACCTTTGGTCCCACACCTATAATCCTATGCGTCTGGTACCACACTGCTGCCCTTTAACCTTTGGCCCCACCCCTATGATCCAATACGCCTGGTGCCACACTGCTGGCCTTTAACCTTTGGTCCCACTCCTTTAATCCAATGCGTCTGGTACCACACTGCTGGCCTTTAACCTTTGGTCTCACACCTATAATCCCATGCGTCTGGTACCACACTTCTCACCTTTAACCTTTGGCCCCACACCTATAATCCCACACCACTGGTCAAACCCGTCTGGCGGCATGCTTGTTGTCATATACACATTTAACAAATTAATTACAAACATTTGAATTAAGCTTCATCAAATTGTTGTCTGGACATGCAATTACAAAATGTACATTTATATATACGTCAATTAGTTTGACTCTTTTTTCTAAGCAATGGATACATCACGAGTTGGTGTTAGGTCAGCCAGTGAAAGCCCTACATGTGGAGAAACGAAGGATGATTTATCTTACTTGACACAATATATTGAGCGTCAGCAGGTTGGATATTATATGAATTGGACATTGGGTTTCTCCATTAATAGAACTAGAGCCTTCGCCTGTAAAACGCATTCACCCACACAATTGTCTAGTCCACTTTTCATCTACACACACACAAGCAGTGTCAGAGATCTTCCAAATGAGATGCGTATTAAAATATATTTACAACACCTGAGGTGTTCCGATTAATTTTGATGACCGGTGCATACATACCCCACACAGATGTTCAATGTTATTTGTGCATATATAAATGTATGCACAATGAGACTGGAAGATGATTTGTATATTACTCAAAATACTGCAAAGGGGCAATATGATTCAGTTACTGATGTTACCCTTAATGATGTTTTAAGGTAAGGAGAAGAAAATGAAATTGTTTGAATAGCTGCTGACCATTTTTGCAATAAGTACATTAACGTGATTAAATTTCACTTACGAATCTAAAATTCATCAATGATTAAAACTAATTAATTTTTACTAATACTTTCATAACAATAAATGTAGCTATTGATGTTGTTAAATAGATTTTCCATTCGTTTGAACTGAGTTTGTTTAGAGGCCCGCGGTGGCCAAGTGGTTAAGGCGTCTGGCATTCTTCTACCTCTAGTCCTCCACCACTGGGTTGCGGGTTCAAGGCCTACGTAGGACAGTCGCCGGGTACTGGCCGCAGGTCAGTGGAGTTTTCTCCGGGAACTCCAGCTTTCCTCCACCACCAAAACCTGGAACGTCCTTAAATGGCCATAGCTGTTTATAGGACGTAAGACACAAACAAACTTTTTGTTTTGTTTTGGAGCGCTTGCCCTATTTAACTGCTGGTATTGTTTAAATATCCAACTGTTGGTCAAGAAGTGGCCAATTCATTTATGCATGAGTACTACTTATCAAATGTCTTTGTCTAGCTGTTGAAAACGGATAATTTACAATTAGAAACACAATGGATGATAGTTTTAAGCATTTGTTAAAGGGAATATTTAGTCAAATGACATCTTAGAAATCAAGTCGAATAACATGACCTGAAGCCAACGTCAAGTGAAGTCATTTTGAACTTTTGGGAAAGCCGGCGATAAAAATAGCTACGACCGAAATAGCGCAATATCCGGGCCTTCAGTGAGAAATAAACGGCATACGGCAAAACAGTATAACTGAGTCTCATTTCACACATTTACACAATAGATCAAAAGCAAGAATAATTATTATCGTTATATATAAATCTTATCAGATATTTCTGTTCACAGATGGATTCGAATAAAATAAACATGTTTAATGACAGTATGTACGCACTGAGACGGTACCGATACAGACAGTAACGATAATTGAGTTTGTTGATTCAGAATAAATGCTTGTACTTGTATTCCAAAGTAGCTAGGTGAATAAAGCGAGAAAATACCTTCTCTCCTCGGCTTGAAAGACATTTTTGCGAGCTGGAAAATCCACAGACAGCTGCCGCTAAAACGTAATGTTGTACAGTTAAGGATTTATTCATTCTTGATTAAAAACTCCAAGAAAACGTCGTCTCTTGTCAATTTTGTACATGAATTGTTAATAATGAGTATCAATCTATATCATCATGAAAATTTTTGTGACAAGATTAATTGTCCATTTAGGGCATATGTATCAGAAATCTTTAATACTTGGGGTGTATGCTTTTAATTTACGTATATCATTCACTGTAGGCATATGCTTATGCACCAAGTGTGATTTTTGCTTTTATTTGTATGATATATGTTTGTCAAATTATGATGAAAAATGTGGAGCTATTTTCTGAAAATTATAAATAAGAAGTAGAATATCCAATAGATAAAGAACATAAATAAGTAAACAAATAATTAAAAAAAAACATTTTTCCGAACAATGTACATAATTGGAAAATTACCTTTCATCAAAAAAGTAAACAATGCTTAATGAATTGATTATTTAATGGCAATTTATCATTAAATAATAACAATTTCTATGAGGCAAACTGTTTTGCTCCAGATACACGATGGCTTAGAATATCTATGCATGCCCTAGGGTCAATTAACCATGTTATAGTAATTCAACAATCAGTTTCAACGCTGCTTAAAAATGAGCTATACAAATAATAATAATAATAATAATAATTCAAGGTTCTTATATACCGCTTTATCACAACCTAGTTCGTAGGTCGTCTCAAAACGGCTCACAAATTATTATCCGTGAATATAAGGCCTTTGAAACCAGCCAATATCGTTTTGAACTCCCTGGGGAGCATACAGCCGGTGCTGCCATTTCGGCGCTCACAGCTAGCATTCTACAATTCTAGCACTGCCCAAACACGTACTCATTTACAGCTGAGTATACTGGAACAAGCGGAGTAACGTATCTTGCACAAAGATACAACACAGCGCCGTGACTTGACTCGAACCCGCAACCCTGCGGTCACAAGCCCGACGTCCTACCACTAGACGACTGAGCCTCCTGCAAACGATGACTATCAAAAGAACAAAATTGTACTTAACACTTAACATACCAATAAAAATTAGTGACTCGACAACAATTTTCATTTTTATTCTATTGAGGACCTAAGATTAATACCAAGAATTATAAGACAATATAGTTATTGAACTTATCCCACAGGCGGACATACTGTGTTGGAGCTGCAATGTTGTGTTAAAAAAATTTATTTTGTCTAGATGGTCATATTGCTAGTTGACATTTAAATAGTAAAAAGGAACAGGACAGAATAGGAAAGTGGTCGTTAAGATATTAAAATGAATAAGAATTGATCCGTGCTTAAACACGCATTTGAGGTATATTACATAGGGATGGAATACATGTACATAGAAGCTCTGTTCTAGCAGCCTAAGCTAGAGGTAGAGTATATTTAGTCCTCGCAAAACCATGGTGTCTTAACAAAGAGGTACACAAACCAAAGATATAACTAAGGCGTATTTTAATCTGTATTTATTACAAATGGTGCTTGAATTACGTGTCTCGATATCTTACTACTCGTTAAACGCGCCTAAGTATATCCTATGAACGTCGTTATCTAAACATTGTTGACAATAATAAAACGTATCATTTTAAGACTGTCAGGCGTAGAAAATATAGTTCAGGAGTCTGCTCGTAGATAAATGATGGGAACGTAACAATTATTTGTCGGAAGCCACGAACACAAATTCAAAGCAAAACGATTGTTACGTAGCAATGAAAATGTAGCTAAACAACATTCTCGAAATGACATCCAGTTGTTCTTACAATGTTTTGTTTAATTGTCCAAAAGTCCAAGAAGTTTCTATTGACATGTGTATTAATAGGTTACAACATATAAATCGTGTCTGCTGAGTGACATACTTCCATTTGAAACGCCATAGTTATATATATGGTTTTTTTCTTTTGGTAAAATGAAAATCAACCTTAAAACAAATCAATGAGAATAATGGGATAAGTTTTACTTCTATATTAAATAGGATATTTATAAATAAGAACATTTTACCTGTTTTCGATAAACGCCGTGTTAGTAAGATGAAATGTTATAGTTTTAACTCAGTAGCAAACAAAAACGATTTCAACCGTAGAAAAATAAATAATACAAACCATTGTCGGTGTCAATATTTTGTTTAGTTTAAAAGAAAAAGTTTTGAAATAGGAAGCTTATTTCTGTCGTCTACATTCATAAAAAAAATGAACAAACGGGGAGTATCAATCCGCATTGATGTTTTGTGTTAAACACAAACATATTAATTATTGTCTTATTCAAAACCTAATATGTACAGTGTTATTACAACAGCATTGCATGCCGGTCACTGTCCCTGGTCTGCAGATCCTCGTCCATATTTTTAGTCCAATTCGGCAGTGGTTTGACAGATTCACGTAGTCTCTACAAGGTAGAACGTGAAACAAACAGACACAATGAACTACAAAAAGTCACCGAACAATATAAAGGTAAGCTCTAGAATAACAAAGATAATTTGAGACCTACTTTTGTCCCGCAACATGAAGCTGTATTTTGCATTGAGTCGAATTATATTCACCATTCATTCCACGTTTGTGGTTAATTCATCTAACTGTTTAAGTTAAATGTTGGTTATGGAAGTTATCGTATACCACACAAAAGATACGTTACGTAAATAAGCTTACAGTTTATCAGGATAGGGTTTTAAAAACGCATCATAATGCATTCAAAATACTGCATAACATCGTGATGTTCATATATTATATTAGGTATCCGTTTTCGATGTATTGCTTTAAAACACATGTCACTAAATCATTAAATTATTTTAAAAACCAGCAATATAGCCATACCCTCAATAATTTGCAAAACTTTGTACTGTGAGATGGATTCTTTTGTGTGGTAAAATAAAAAAAAGTTAAGGGCAGATTCAAGATATTTTATATACAGCTAGGCCCCCTCCCTAATTATGATGTAAGTTTATTTGATAAGGAAGTAATGAAATATACAGATTGAAACTAAATACGTTTAAAGGTTATTCATGTATGAATAATATGAATAATAGTCCGAGAAATTTTCCTCGGAGCCCCTAGCAGCAACCAACATAGTACAAAAGTATATGTTTCCGTAGATAAACCCCAAGATCAAGAGTAAGTCATATTGATCAATATCGATGGCCTGATTGACATTTGGCATCATACAAAGACAGACAACAGTGAGTTATCGCCCTTGCAGATGGCGCTGCAACAAAATTGGTATTACAAACGTAATGCTAATTGTAGAATTGCAAGTATTGAATCAAATAAAACACATTCTATAGATATCCGAAGCATATACAATTTATGAAAGGCATTTATGTGTTTCTCTAAATGCAAAATAATTTTAATGAAGAAAAGACAATTCAAATGAAAAGTGTCATTGTTTCATTTTTAGTTATTAAACATTATATATTTCAACAATCTAAATATTTCTATTTCTATAGGTTTCATCTCTCAAATAAATTGATAATTATGTATCGTAGTGCATATCATTTCATCAGAAATATGAAATATTATTTTATGCTGCTTGTTCTGCTGATGAATATTTTGAAAATATCTTTGTGTGTCTGTTGAATTGGCATGCAATGCAAAAGTCAGCATTGCATTTGTAGGACCAAGTTGGTAGCAGTGCCATCTAGTGACGAAGCAGGGGCGTTTACTCACTTATGTCTCTCATCTACTTCGCCGAACCTGTCTGTTGTTGAAAGTAGTGGCAGTTCTTATCACAAGTGTCGTAGATAGCTTACACTGACGTTTATATATCAAGGGCTGATGGTAAGTAAAGAGGTATATGCTGCAGACACTCCATCGGCCCAAAGGAAATGCCCTGCCTCGTTTTTTATGATACAGATATGTAATGCAACAAGCAATACATACTGTAATAACAGATATACCCATGACGTTTCCCCTACACTTAGAGCATGCCTAAACCCTGTTTTTCTCTTGGGAAACAGACCGGAAATGGAGGAGATTTCATTAAATAAATCACATATCAATGTCTAAAGTTTTGAGTTATTCAAGACCTCGCGCAAATGTTCAACTATCTTTTTAAAACGTATCAAATCAATTCTTACATCCTGTCGATCAAACATTTGATTGAATCTTATTTATGTATGACTAACCTGCATGAGGCCTCCCGGATGTTTAGCCAATGTGTAGATCATATTGACAGCTAAGGGCAGTAAAGGTGTAATAGCGATGATCCAGCCCACCCCGATTGACCACACAGGATAAGACATTGCTCCATATGTCACGGGGCGATGCTTTACCAAGCTAACCACCCAAATGAACTGTAAAAGAGGGAAGTCTCTGTAGTTATCTGTTTGGTGATTGTAACATATAATAGTTTTGCCGTCAAGTTCCAACCTAACCATTTGTCATTTAAATATGCCATACGCCTTAGTTGACACCGGTAAACCCATTGCTGTTGTATTGCTCGAGATCCAATAAACTTGTTTGCTATAACGAAAATACGATATGTATACATAACCGACTTTCATTAAAACTGCTCGATTTACATTATACCAGGTATCTGTTTTGTACCTGTCGGTATTTTACTCGCAACATACAACGACACATGGCACTTGATACAACTTAAGATGAGAAAGTGTTCGTCATATAGCCTAGTTTGGATGATAATGAATCTCCGTTGTGACAACCAGATGAGAAATAATCTATTATATCTATATTATATTCATTAACATGAATATATTTTTCTCAAACAGCTACAAATGTTAACAGAATATAATAAACTATTTGATACTAAAATATATCGATAATAATGCAACCAAAATCAATTGATATAAAGTGACCATTTTCGTTGAATTAACAGGGGGAGTAACTGAGAACGGAGACTTTATAAACTCCGCCTTGTTATAGAGGGTGAATCACACTTTTTACTTGGGTGAGGCTACAATGCACAACTGGAAAATGATTCAAACTTCCCTGTGGCAAACGACTAATACAACTATGTAAACTATAATTCTATGTAATTTTGACAAAATATTATACAACTAAGTATCAACAATATATATGTTATATTGTGTACTTTCTTTTTATTCTGATAAACAAGCAATATCTATCATATATACTTATCTCCCGTGGAAGATAGCTATTTTGAAGGTCCATGGATGTAATGTAACATTTGTAGTTTTTTTATCACTATACTCGTACATATAACATGTTCTTAGATTGCTTGTATTGTGCTACATGTATGTGCGTAATAATCGAAGCGTATACGTATCCCAAATGTAATTATTATATAATTGCAAGGTATTTCATTTACTATGTTTGTGAAATCATGACTGCCAGCAATAAATCTGAAAACTCTCGAAAACAAAAATTGGACCCATTCTTGTTTCAATATGGCAATTTGATCAAAGGATGGCACACCTAAAGAGGAGTTGTCGCATTAAGCTGCATCATATCACTATAGATAATTGGCCACATTTGTAAAAAAAAAAAAAAATGCAGAAACACCAGACTGCAGAAAGTGTGTGCATTTTAAAATGTTACTGTATGTAAATGCGATGTGTTCAAATGCAATCTGCCTTAGCGTTTTGCTACGTGATAGCTAACTTTCCATGATATGATATTGTACTTATGATTGATTCCAAAAGGAACCTTATGCAAACTTACAAAAGTTGTAATAGGTGTTATGAACTTCCAAAAGAATTGCCAGAACCGTGGAATCGGATATCCCACCATCAATTCTATATCCTTGCTGAGCCTCTCCGAACCTTTAAAATGAACAAAAATGCTATATTTATGCTTGTAACAATCATAAGCTACAAAAGCTTTCGCGTATTAATTTAATGTTTTTATTACTATTATTGAAATGTACCTTGCCTATTGATTCAATAATAACTATTTAAACTGAATTGGCACGGTCTTTTTTGTCGAAAATTTGTAAATAACAATTCTTTTTTGTACAAAGAAGGTGATAATTTGTCTATCGAATGATATTAAAAAGGTTGTTTAACGGAGAATATTAAGTAAACCTAAGCTGCGATTATCATTATTTGCATAAATCAGATAAGCATAGTAAGAAAATAGAAACTTGGTAATTACTTAGATATTTTAAATGTTCACAATTTAATGTACACCAAGTAGCGAATATTAAATTTAACACCAACACAATGGAGAAAGTATTGTGGACCGATTTGTGGAATTATCAATAGCATTGGTAGACCCTTTTGATGTCTATAAAGTTTGTTGTATTTATATATACCATAGATCCAGGCAAGTACGCTGCTTTCCAGTAGAATAATTAAAAGTGATCCAACACTGGCAATATACCAATCAACGAGCTGAACAACAAACATGCCACCCTGTAAGTAAAAACAACGTATCAAACGTCTCATGTTTGAATCAGGATATGGGATTGGATGCGACACACACAGCTTTTTTATTACATTTTGTCACAAATCAGCATGTTTGGTACATTGTATGTACTCTTTTAAATCTGAGCTTTACTCTTTAATTATCTAACAACAATATATGTAATAAAAAGCAAAAGTGTCAATATGGCCTAATATGAAGATATTGATTATATGCGTTATCATCAGGTTGAGTGCATTATTAAACAGCCATACGCTAAAGTATATTGACGTGCCTGGTAGACGTAGGGTATCCCAATAATTGTCGTCAATATACACACAGCGGCCGAAGTCATTTTCACCTTCGAACGAAACACATGTGGATATACATCTGCCAAGGCTCCGTTTACAACTTGTAGATGAACGATCTGTAAAAAGAGAGTATTATCAACGAAACACGCTTAAAGAATAACAACGATTCTGAAGGAACTGCGGTAGTCAAAAGAGCTTAGCACAAAAGCTGCCATGCTAAGTTTTGTATATTCCTCGGAGAAATATAACACTGGAAACTAGCAATGTTGTCGAAGTAGAATGTATTTAATACATTCACTACCAAATCGAATTTAAACGGCAAACTATTTTTATTTCTCAACTTATATAAACAAAACTCAATTTTTTCAACCTCACCACAAAAGCTGTGTCTATCATGACATCAAGTGTAATTTCAAGGTATATTACTGCCTTGAAAAAAAAAATGCTATTAGTAAAAGCAAGAAACAATGTTTTTTTTTAGTAAAAACACACGTTTCATCCGCAACCTCATTTATCGCCAACTTATTTTAGGGATCTCCCATTTTCAATATTTGCTTAACAATTCCTTTATTGTTCTCCCTTAATACGATCAAAAGCCTTTTTATGTCGATTTTTGCTGCTTAATGAGGTTTCTCGGTAGATAGTTGTTTACACTTGTCTTATTCTTAAAATTCTTTCATCCATACCCGACTGTCTAATCCAACAGTGAACAGAGTGAAGAAGAATAAAGCGGACCAAAGTTGTGGAATGGGGAGGGTTGATATCGCTTCCGGAAATATCATGAAGGCTATCCCTGGACCTAAATGAAAAACAATATAGTAATAAAAATAAGACTCGGCTTTTAAAGCGTTAAAATCCTATTATTCTACTCCTATGGATGGCTGCACCGTCTCAATCGAGGAATGATATTTTTTAACGTCTCTGAGATCAGATGAGACCGAATGGCGGAACTGGTTTTAGGATACTGCAAAATGTTATCCCGATATAATTGTAAAAAAGTTTTATTTTTCTCATAGTTCTTATGTTTAATAGAACGAATAGAGTTGTTGTTTTCCTATCTTGGTGCAAAACGAAAGTGGTTTCCAAAATAAATAATAACAGAAACAAAAATAACACTTTAGAATTTTGGGCATACGATAATATTATGAAATACGAAATGAATTTTCAAAAATATTCAAGAAATTGAAATTTCCAATCAACCAATCAAGTCGAATTCACAACCAATGGTGACAGAAGAATTTAATTTGAATATGACAGGAGATTATCATATCAATTTGCTAAAAAAAAGAGTACTCAAACTTTAATCAGATATCATTAAAAGTGCCTGCAAATTGAGGTACAAGATTAGCACCAAAAACATGCTTAAATGCAATAGTGAGTTTAAACGTCTCGTATGAATATACCAAGGACGATAAATGATATATGTTGCATGGATTTCTTCAAGTTCACATTGGAATAAAGAAACATAGCTCATTATAATTACTTGTTGCGTTTATAAACAACAATTAATTACGACTATCACAACAAATGTTTGATACAAATTCCTTTTGACCATTGTAAGTCAGTGCAAAAATAGTTTGGTAGATTTTCCATAGATCACATGATTACACAGAAACTGGCTTCGTTAAGATAGCACTTTAAAACATTCCCTTGCGAGCATTGTTCATTCTGTGAGATAGCATATTCCTTAAGCTATTAACACAAAGAGGAGATACGAAGATTCATATTCCCATTATTCATACCATCAGCGACAACATCTTGTATATCCACATTGAAAGTTGTTGCCATGTAACCAAGAGTTACAAAAATAACACATCCGGCAAAGAGGCTAGTAAACGCATCCACAAGGGGTATTATCATTGCATCCCTGAAAAGACAACAAAAGTATGCACCATTATCAAATAAGATTAACGGTGAACAACAATATCTGGTTCATATTTAAAACATTTTAATGTTTCTCAGTCATAGCTTGACAATGGGATCAGTCGGTCTTGAAACGTTGCGACACAGTTAATGCGTACATTGTTTGTGTAAAAATTAAAACTTTGATATCACTTGATTCCAAACTGATGAATCCTATTGAACACTTAAATGCATAATGGGTTTTTCACCATCAAGTGGAAGGAACTGTTATTTTTTTACGATTTATTATTATTTTTATTATTCTACAAACAATTTTGTCTCACAATTTCTTCTTATCGGCTAAAGGCATGTCAATGATATTTTAAGATAATGTATTACATGCATATACGGTGTCACAGCAACATTTTCAAGTATTTCAAGTCATATATGGCCGCCATCAGGTCATATGTCAAAATCCTAAAAATGGCCTTAACTCAAAAACTCAAAAAAGTTTCCTGTTGGGTAAAAGGTCACCATCTTTTTTTTCAAGTTTGTTGTCGATGGGATAATTCCATTCCGTTGGATTTAGTGTCTTCAGTTTTCGATAAAAAAAAATAACATCATATTTCATTTTGAATATTTCCTATGATCTTTTAAAATGCCTAAAAAACTTTTTTTCTGCAATATCTATGATGGTAATTTCATTTAAACATAGTAAAAAGTTTTCCCTAGATATCTTTCCGAATTTTGGTAGGTTTTTGACTTTTACAACCGAAATGTCCACCATGACGTCATATCCATTTTAACCTAAATTACCATAACTCATTCATGGCTTAAGATATTAAGTCTTTGGATATGACAACACTCGCTTTCACCAAGGGGTCCGATTCCCCGATCGGACGTGAAAATGTATGGGGTCACCTGCCCGAACACGTGGGTTTTCTCCGGGTATTCCGGTTACCTCCCACATTAAGACCCCCCCCCCCCCCCCCGCGCACTAATATCCAGGTCAACAAGAGTGATTAATATAAGTTGTAAAAACTTATTCATAATTGTTATAAAATAATTAAAGTGTATATATAGTAAAGTTACCTATAAAGATTGTGATGAAAATCATTGTAACTGGAGAGAGTCACGAGGTCAGCTGCAGCAAACCCTGCCGAGTAGATTACCTGGACGGCAGCATCAGACCATACCTGTCGAGTAAAGCACAACAAATCCTGTGTTTCTTACTTCATGGGACAAATGGTATTATTACACTTAATAAAGTAACCATTTCTATGCCATACTTTTTCGACCAACTAATAAACAGCTTATATAGAACAGTCAATTGCGTGTTATTGTATAATAATTTATCTGCAACTTCATTTATTCAACATTCTTAGATACTAGATATTTTTTAGTTTCAAACAGTATCATATGTATTCCACTTCCTTGCTCAATGAAACCCGGAGTGCTTGTATTGTCGGTATTGAAAACGCAGTTTAGTTCCCGCAACAAACATGCCTATATATCATTACTACTGTACATTCTTGACCATAAGGGACATATCAGAATGTGCCGAAACATTCCCAGGTTCTAAAATACAAGTTCAAAATGTGAAGAAACAATATCTTAGTGAGGAACAGCGCAAGACTCACCGACAGATTTAGTAACTCTTCCCATCTTGGAATGAAGTAGTACCGCAGTCCCTGACCAGCGCCCTCTAGCGTCAAACCTCTGATCAGTAGGATTGTTAGGAATATGTAAGGGATTGAAGCCGCTACGTACATAATCTAGACAAAAACAAGCAATTGTGTGCACAGAATATCTTATATAAATATAGTGAAATTCGATACATTTCGGCGCTCACAGCTAGCATTCAACAATTCTAGCAGTGCCCAACCACGTACTCATTTACAGCTGAGTAGACCGGAACATTCCTACCACTAGACTATGGCGCCTCTGATTATTCAATTAATATATGAAATAAGTGAAACATGAGAGATGATTGTTACAAACTTTGTTTCTATCAAGGTTCATAGGATAATGAACACACACAAAACATAACAGAAATGATACATAAGCGAACTCGTTACCAAAGATATAAGAATGTGTCACAAAGTTGCCTAGAATGAAGGTGAGTTCGAAGAAATATAGCGTTAAAGACTGGTAAACTATACCAAGTTATACCATTCCAGAAACAGCGAATACTAAATATTTCAAGGACAACGAACATTTCATTGAGGACGAGATGGCTTCATCTGTCAAACCGATTATCATTCTAACACTGAACATGCGCATGCAACACCGCCTGGTCTTATTAGCAACCAGTGTGAAAAATATAACCCGCTTTCACGAGGACAAGAACATGCCGCAAATATGATTATGCGATTATCAGATATATTCAGAATTTGTGTTACGCTAAAAACAAATGTAACTTTGAAATTAGTCCAATACATCCTGCATGGTTCATTCCTATCACCACGTGCATAGGACAGAACATGAGTATTTGCAATGCCCTTTAAGACGTAATTATGCATTACCATGGATTAGCAACAACTGGTTCACCCGTTGTCAGTATAATACGACCGGGCGGAATGCTGTGCTGGGTGCCTTCGGCATAGTATTTCAGTAAGATAGCACTATATAGTCGGCATCAGATCCGCGCTATCATAAGGAGGTAAACAAACCAACACAACTTGTCTCCTGCATACACACAAGCAAGCACGCATACACTACACACATGGAGGTACGTCCTTAAATGATCTAAGCTGTTAATAGGACGTTAAACAAAATTAAACCAAACCAAACCAAACAAAATTTGGACTCGAGAGTCTTAAATTGAACTTTTTAAAATAAGATCGAAAAAGGAACCGAGAAAATGGACTACATGTAGTGTGTATACGTATTGACATTCACCTTTTTTGAACAGAATATAATTGGTTTGAAAGGTAATTAATGCTATGAGCAAGACAGATCAATATCAAGACGAAAAAAGCGTATTTATTGCATAAAAATGACAGCCAACCATCATTTTTCATAGATACTTACCAGAGGAATATGCGCACGTATAACTGAAATGATTGCTGTTAAAGCACGTTTATAGATCATGAAGAGGTGTACACTTATCAGGAAAAATCAACTCATGTTCTTAATGGAATTGAAGGTGGTAATAGTTATAAGGTTGATTCAAATTTAAAGTCCTAGATCAAGTGGTGGATCCAGATCATTTGTCAATGAATGTGTTACATGACACAAACAAAAGGTTAAAATGTTAAAAGATGTAAAAATATGTCAATAGCAAACAAATTGTTTCTGAAATATATCATATCTCATTATAGACATTAATTGAATGTAAATACTCATAGACTGATTGAAACTGTATCAAATAAACGTTTCATAGAGGGTACATTGTAAAATCTGTCATGTATTTGTTTGAAATCAGCGCATTCAATCATAGAGTGTTTGACTGTAAATGGTTGATCACATGCATGACAATAAGCTTAAGGTTGGTCTTCCTTGTGTAAAATGTAACTATGTGTGATGTAGGTATGGCCTATGAGTAGTCGCGACCTGCTCCACCTTCTGCACTTCAGACCATTTATGTTTTCAACTCGTTTTAATAAAGTTCGCTATTGAAGATTTAAAATCAGAATAAGGCAGTTTCATATCTTTCGTATTGAGATTAAGCGCTGCCTCGGTAAAAGTAAAATACATAATCAAAAACGAAGAAAAGACACCCCCTGTAAGAACTAGAAAGTTAGCTACACATTCATGGGAAACTACCAAAGAAAGCAAATCACCAAAAGTCTGTGACATTGGACATTTATGTGAGCACAACCGATCTTTAATTCTGGTTATTTATATTTGGGAATGATTGCAATCAAATACACAATACTTACCTTTCCAGACATCTTAATTCCCCTGAATACACAAAAGAATACAATTGTGCTCACTGCTACGTTGCAGAGTAATAAGGTCCAACGGATTTGTCCCATGTCTTCAATGTTGTCGGTTAACTCCAACACCTTGTACCTGAAACATGTACGAATGTTGTGCAGTATTTCTCTTTCTATATACATAGAAACATATTTTTAAAATCAAACATTATCTTAAACTGAACAGTATAAACAATATTAGGTTTAAGATAAAAAAAAATCGTTTACAATTCCGTTTATGGCAAATAGAACGGGAGTATCGAGATGCAGATACTGTATCATTGGTTGAAGCAGAATCCTGCTACATTACACCAGCATCTAAGACTTAAAGACTGTGTCTAAGGGAACAGCAATACGTAAAAGGAAGAGGTACTCTGCTGGAATGAATAATATTAATGGCGAGAACGCGATTCAACGTTTGTATGTTTGTCACTGCAAAGTTGTTTTTTGTTGCAGAATTAGTATTGACATCTGATGTATCTTTGAAAGTCTGTGATGTTATTGTCAAAATAAGTTCAGAAAATATTGGTCTTCCCGGAAGTGACGTCTCGGAAGCCATTTACCAGAATCTGACATTTTAAATATTTATTTAATCAATATGAGGACATGTACATGGTTCGCTGGTACTGTCTTACAACTGCTGTTAATTAATTTAATATACCTATAATACAGTGTGAATTCAAATGAATATGAAACTTAGTTAGCAATAAACAGTGAAATATTTTAATGCCATATATTTAAAACTGATTATGGTAAATACAAATGAATGCGAAATCATATAAGAATTCCGAATCTCTTTAAAAGATAACATTTCACTTATATAACACTGGTATATATTCCTAATATGCAGTACATACTTACTGCCAGAATTCCTCCGTGGCAGTCTTAGCAGTGCTATGTGGTACGATTCCAGTCAGAGATGATACGTTGTGTGATGTAAGGCTGGTGTTTGTCGTTGTTGTGTTGTACGGAAGCACCCTGCTGTAGCAATTCTCCGTGTTCCAGGCATTGCTACAACTAGTCCATGGTAAATGGGCAGTAAAACAGCTCCCGAAGTAGTAGAGTATCCAGGCTATAATGACGTTGTAGTATACTGAGACCACTACATTCATCACAATCATAGCATAACCGATACCTAAGATAATCACAAAAATATAAAAAAATATCTTATATTAAGTCCTTTATAAAGTGAATATTTGAATATTTGCAAGGGTGTAATGTATTTTTCCCAATCAGCTGATTGAGTTTGATTTACTATGGTGGCGGTGGTAAAGCCTGCCATCTATTTGAGTGACTTGCATTGCCATGTGGCGGTCTTTTGAGACAACACCAGTACCGCGTCAGTGCACATGTTTACCATATTGGCCGGTTGTCATTCAATGAACAGTTTCACTTGAACTAAGTTTGTGAAGTTACAAATTGTACTTGCAATTTAATAGCATTATTGATATTTGAAGTGCACAGCTTTTCCCAGTGTTCACCTGCATTTCAACTATTTCTAATGGGACTAATTATTGTCGAATACAAAGTTGGTAAAAGTGGGAAAAAATGAGGTGTACATCTGTTCCGTGTGTTCACTTAATTTGTCCTTCATATTTCAATCGTCCCAAGTTTTGCAATTTTGCACAAGTTTGATCAAGTTGATATGCACTTATCTTAGTTTGGTCCAACCCCTCCCCCCCCCCCCCCCCCCCCCCCCGCATTTGACTCTAATTTTGATTTTCGGTACCCACATCTGTATGAAGCCGTGGGCATATAATCGCCAAACCTTTAAAACATAAATATCATAAAAGCTAATTTAGTGTTTGCGTTTTTTATCTTTGATAACCAAATTTGAAGAGCTAGGTGGTCCTCACTCTCAATGCCTACCCCATTAAAACCAAATCCGTTATTACTATATATGAATAATTTGATATCACATTATATAATATATTTAAAATTGCACAGCCTAAATTCATGATACTGCATACGTATACCGCTTGTTGTTGAATATTGGTGTCGTTGAAGGTAACTTACAGCTCATGATTAAATATTATCAAAACGTAAATGATCTTTACTTTAAGGATAAAAATATAAAGTCATGTCGACATCATTGTACAAAAGTCCTTCTTGATAAATCTGTTAATCATGATGTCTTAGTAAAAAGGTGTTGCACTTCCAGGGCATTGCTAATTACCAATAAGTGCGATGTGATTTGCTGTGTCATGACAAGGCAACCGCAACGATGCACGCAAAAAGGTGCGTGCTATTGATAGTTCTTTATGGTAACTTTACGATATTTTATGTGACTCCCTGATTAATCAATTAGTTCGAGAAACATTGAAAACATAACATCGCAGGAAAAAGTAACTAAATCAGAAATTGTTTCTGTTCGTTCTAACAAATAGTACGTGCAATCAGCACTGTAGGTGGAAATATATTAAAACATACAGCACAAACTACTTTTGAAGATGAAGTACACATCATCTCCCGGCTTAACATGCATGGTTAGTTTCGTCGAGGTGAAAGCTACTAGGCATGGATTGAATAGTGGCTTCGTGTAAAATGATATTGCTGTTTTTATCTTAGCATGTTTTCATTGTTTTATGAAAGTGTCCAAAGCAGTGTGATACTACATCAACAAATGTGATATGTTTGATATGTTTGAGCCTGTCTACTTATCATGAATGCATCAATGTTTAAAAAGTATGGGTGAAACATTCATTTACATGCGTTCTTGAAATTTATAATACTTCTTGTGAAAATCTTAAAATCTGATTGGTCGAGACCAATTGTTCATTTCACACTGTCATAGGCTTTTTTATAAAGATAATTCGAACAAACAAAACATAAGTTGGATTGTTACCGCAATATAACAGATAAACTCGTGTAGGTTCGTCGTAAAAAACAGTGTTACTATATTAAAAGCAAACCTTTGAATAGGGGACAGCAAACCCAAGCTTTAGCGGGTCCCATACTGGAAAACTGCGGGTAGGAAAACTGCAATATTTGTTGCGGAATTGCCAGTATAGCCATAAACAGGAAGTATGGTATAAGGAACGCCCCTGAAAAAGAGACATAAACAAATTCAATAAAAAAAACTCGTATACTTTCGCTTCATTTCATTTTCCTTTAGCAAAAACAATAATTTTATACAACGACATTACAGAATTAGTGTGTGCTTTTTCACAATTTACCCTCGAATAATTAATACAAAAAAATTGACGGAAACTGGAAGGTTTTATAAAACGTACAAGCTTACCTCCGCCATTTTTGTAGCAGATATAGGGGAATCTCCATATATTTCCCAATCCAACACTGACACCTATGCACGAGAACATGAATTCCTTTCCATTTTTCCAAGTCTCTCGTTTCTTCGTTGCCTTAGACACAGTATTGTCCATCTTTTATGCTAAGAATGTAAAAGCCTCATTCACTGTATAACCAATACATACATCATTATAATCGACAAAAATTTACATCATAACATCGTTATCATAAATATTTCGATAAACATTGTTATGGATATTTATCACTATATACATCAGACTGTAACGTTAACAAACGAATAGCAATCAATTAAGAACGAAAAGGTGCATTTTTCTTACCTACTAGGCATTAGACACTTGGTGAACACAAACCTAATGTCAATACATCTAGGTCAATATTATAAACATATACACAGACACGTATTGTGACAAAGCTAACATTAAGATGAACAAATACGCATATTTAATGTATTGCCATACACGCCGTATGTGGCATGATCGACACATGAACACAGACAGCAACAGAATTGAATACAACAAATGTATTAAACTTAAAGGTTGGGTCCACTCCAATACTAAAAACCCATATGGTCGGCCCACGCAGTGATTTGTTTTCATATTTTGCAACAACGTTGCCAGACTTTAAAATGAAGGTCTCACGTTCCTAGGGTCTGATTTGGCGAAATCGGTGCTCCTTGAAATACTCCTGCTCAGAACATGAAGTTATACATACTCCAGAGCCTGAAAAAACATCATTTTAATCTCAAGCTGATTCTTTCTCTTAAAATGCTGCTGCTAAGGTGTAGTTGATCATTTTGATACCAAATATGTACTTACTTTTTCAACAAAAAACACATGTTACGTAAATTTCGTATGTTTGACCGACATTAGCAAATAAACGAACACAGGGACATTTTTTTATTTTCTCATATTCACCTATTTAAAATAAGGTATTACTAAAAACAAGTTAGTCATTAGAACATTCCGAGTTTTCACAAAACCAGACTCTTAAGGGTCAGTTTCGGATCGGATATGAAAACAGTCATTCATTACAAACACAACCTAAAGCGGTGTTGATGTTTACCATACTTTTAACAAACAATTGCCAATATGAAATTCTACAAATATTATTTGATTTCTTTTTTCATTAATTGTGTTTTTTTGTTTGTAGCATCCTGGAGTGGTTGTGATTAAAAAGGTATAAATGGAGAGGATTCATCTCTCTGGAGACGGGCGAGAAAGGAGCGGGGGAAGAGTGTGATTTGAAATCGTCATTTTCCCTTTGGCTGTTCCTCTTACGCTGAGCATTTCTAGAAAATCACCTGGAGGCACATGTACCGCATCTGACTTCCGAGTTTCTAAAAAAGGCCATAACAATGGTGCTTTAGCCTGATCATCTTCATTGTTGCGTTATTGTTCCATATATGTATAATAAAATAATGTACTGATCTTACATTAGAGAAGAACGATTCTTTGTTTTCCTTTTATATAACCATGTTTCTCTCGGGTTTGGCACTTGTGAATTGTCTTTCCCTACCACAAGGTCAATAGATGTATAATATAGGGGAGTGGTTATTATGCAGTTGGGTTGTCTGTCTGCCTATCCATTTATCTGTCTGTCAATATGTCTGCAACAAAACGAATATGAATAACAATGGTTCAAACTAGTTAATCTGAAATAATGCACCAGCTCTAATATAACTTGGTACATAAAGTTCTTAAACTGAGGGGGATGTGAATGTAGTATACGCATTCGAAATACAGTTAGAATTACGGTAATAACGAACCATTCAAAATACTTTTTAATCAATCATTGTGTACCGGTTGTGTTCCATCAGCTGTCAAAGAGAGAAGGATTGCAGCTATTTCCAAGAAGGTAGATAAGCGTTATGCAATTAACTACATACCAGTCAGTTTAACAAGTATCATAGGTAACTACAGACCAGTCAGTTTAACAAGTATCATATGTAACTACATACCAGACAGTTTAACAAGTATCATAGGTAACTACAGACCAGCCTGTTTAACAAGTATCATAGGCGAACTATTGGAAACAATTGTAAGGAATCGCATTATGGAACATCTAACAAACAACAAGATTCAAAGTACTCAGCAATTCGGATTTGTAAAAGGGCGGTCCACATTACTCCAGCTTCTTAAAACCATGGATGACTGGATGAGAATCATTGATGCAGGGGTGGTATCGAAGTAGTTTATATGGACGTCATGAAGGCCTTTGTAGTAATTTAAATTATGATATACACCATGACCATCTTACTAATAGTCCAGCTTGTACCTGCTCTGCTGAACATGAAACAGTATCTCATTACTTTTTGGCAATGTCCATCAGTACGAGATCTTATAGTAGTTAAATTACCTCTATTACTCTGATACTAATTCAATTCAAGTTTAATACTAGAACTACAATCTGTATGTCCATCAGTCCGAGATATTATAGTAGTTAATTAGACTTTATGATTACCTCTTTCACTCTAACTTTGAACTTGAACTAATAACTTGTCGGCAAGTTCAGTAACAACGGTCTTTATATAACCATTTGTAAAAACAGTTCTAGTACGTATATAAACAACTCACAACTTACCTGTTGGTGAAAAACGGAAACGGGAAATAGATTGGATGAAGAAGGATTGAAAAGTTTATCATCAGAACGAGATCTTAATTAGACTTTACGATTACCTCTATTACTCTAATACTAGAACTACAATCTGTATGTCCATCAGTACGAGATCTTAATCAGACTTTATGATATTACCTCTATTACTTTAATACTAGAACTACAATCTGTATGTCCATCAGAACGAGATCTTAATTAGACTTTACGATTACCTCTGTCACTCTAATACTAGAACTACAATCTGTATGTCCATCAGGACAAGATCTTAATTATACTTTACGATTACCTCTATTACTCTCATACTAGAACTACAATCTGTATGTCGATCAGTACGAGATCTGAATTAGACTTTACGATTACCTCTATCACTCTAATACTAGAACTACAATGTGTATGTCCATCAGTACGAGATCTTAATTAGACTTTACGATTACCTCTATTACTCTAATACTAGAACTACAATCTGTATGTCGATCAGCACGAGATCTTAATTAGACTTTACGATTACCTCTATCACTCTAATACTAGAACTACAATATGTATGTCCATCATGCGAGATCTTAATTAGACTTTACGATTACCTCTATCACTCTAATACTAGAACTACAATCTGTATGTCCATCAGTACAAGATCTTAATTAGACTTTACGATTACCTCTATTACTCTCATACTAGAACTACAATCTGTATGTCGATCAGTACGAGATCTTAATTAAACTTTACGATTACAATTCTGCAAATTTTAGGTTATGGACATTGTTCACGGGTCCATATATTTTCTGCAGATTTCCACGGACATTGTCTATAATCGTGGTAATTTTTACACGGTTTCTTCCAATAATGGCCATAGTTGATCAAACTTACTTCTGACATTGAGCACTAAATACTGACAGCATCGACCCTTCTAATTGACCGTGAAGGCCATGTACTGACCAGCATCATCCTTGACCGGATAATACATTGCCATGTGATGTCGATTTCCGTCCCGAGAAACGTCAAACTATCTGATTCATCTTCTACCTTGTAGACATCTGAAAAATGAAAACAATGTCTTATTTTTTGAATGACACAGAAGATATATTTAAGCACACTCTCTTTCACCAGGATGACCATGCATGGTTTGATTCCTCAATTCGTATAAAGACCCTCAATACATTTCCATCCAGGAAAAACAAAAGTGATTAATTCAACTTTTGAAACAATATCCATGCAGGTATTTATAAAAAACATATTCCAAAGGAAATATTTTTAAATTATGAAAAAAACTCTCAAATTAAGATATTTGGCCCACTAAGAAAGGTGTAACTTTGAATTTTCCTTTGAAATCAAGGTTTTGTTGTGCTTTGCCAAGGAATTATTCACTCGGGTATATATTAGTGTTGTGAATAATAAGATCAGAATTGTCTGTTTGCACCGATTGTGTGAAGGAAGTAACATTGTCAATAAAGTTTCAGAAACAAGAAGAGTTACAATTAAATATGTATGTTGTCTTTTGATGATTTTCTCACCTGTATCATATATTCATCCTAAACATTTACATGATGTAGTAGTGTCATTATTTGTCAATATTGCTTTTAACATATTTGTGGTACAATTGTATTTATCTATACGCGTTCGTATGTAACGGAATTCAGCACTCCGTGTAATTTTGTACGTAACGCATTGCGGTAGAACTTTTAGCGCGCGCCCCGAAATAGCACGTGTAAATGCGAGTAAGGTAAGGGGCGGATGTGACGTAGTGTGTTGTAAACCTGTTTGTCCAGTACGTATTGTCTATGTATAGTATTCCTAGTGTTGAATGTTGGGTAGTTTACCTGGCGCACTGGTCACTTTTAACAGAGCGGCCAGAGAGGACACACCTGTTGGTCCGACTTACCTGTACATCATGACCAGTGTAACTTCTGAGGATCGCGTCGTGTACAGTACGGAGTGGCCATTAATAGTGTTGAATTAAAAACTTTATTCCAAAATGGGGAAATCTAAGAGAGGAAGGAAACGCAAACAGACTAATAGTGTGAACGAAAGTATCAGTGTTGCTGATGATGAACTAAGTAAAGAGAGTGAAAATACGGCAAACCAATCAGCGGGACTTCTAAGTTCGATCATTAATGCCGCTAATGGCGTAATATATGGCAGCCCGACGGGGACACAGAGAAACCAAACTCTAGCTACGTCGACACCCATCTCTACAAATGACAATTTCAACAACAAAATCGATATGATCCTAAAGAAACTTGACAAGCTAGATATTATCGAACAACAAGTAACTGGTCTTGCCAACAGGGTCACAAATCTTGAGGAAAAAATGTTGGAAGTTGAGCAAAAGTCATCCGTGCTAGAAAACACCGTCAAATTTGTATCTGATAAGTTAGATGACATCGTATCGGCAAATGCTGGTCCCGACCGTGAATCTGTACAGACACTTGACTCGATGAAACGAGAAATGGACGAAAAACGGAAAGATAGAGACCAGCACCGCGAGGCAGTTATAGACCTCCAGTGCAGGTCGATGAAAAACAATCTTGTGTTTCTGGGGCTTGGAGATGAACATCGCGACGAGAACACCGAGGTTCTCTTCAAGGAGTTCCTGTACCATGAAATGGGAATACACAGGAACATCGAGTTTGGAAACGTCAACCCCTAAATCATTCCAATACCAACGTAATCAGATAGGGATGCGAGGAGAGTGACCACCTCAAAATTGTATCATGGAACATTGGCAAAGGCATGTGTAGCAAACTTGACGAACCTGAATTTTGTAATATAATCAAAAGTAAGGATATAATTTGTTTACCAGAATGTTGGGTTACGGAGGGAGATGTGTTTTTATATACCAGGC